CCTTTGACGGAGGTGCCAATGGAGAGCCAGCAGGACCTGGAGGAATGGGCTGGGGTGGAGGGCGACGTACCACAAAGTACCAAACATCACCCAGACCTGCCATATGACAATGCTGACCTGCCACTTCCCGAGTCATTTCCCTCCCCTCCGCCACCTCTAGATGACTGTTCTTATCAGGACTCTTCCAGTGAGAGCTCCTCCATGTGCTTGAGCCTGAGTGAGCCTCCATCCGAAGGTTCCTGCACTCCTCCTCTACCGCTGGCCAATGGGGATACAGAAGACGCAGTCATCCTCCGTGCCAAGAAAGGTCAAAAGAAGGCAGAGAGGGTGCCCTCCATCTACAAGCTCAAACTGCGGCCGCGGATAAGACCCCGCACTGACAACAGACCCGAGGACAGCCCGTCTCGCATCCCTACACCTGTACGATACAGGAATCATTGTCAGCAGTCTCCTGCCAATTCATCTCCCCTCCAGACCCCACCACAGTCTCCACGTTTAAACAATCACCAACCCTCACACAAAGCTCTGCATCAGGCCTTTGCTGACCTCATCCAACCCCAGCAGCGTTCCCCAGCTATGGGCTCTAGAGAGTGTGCCTATTCTTCAGAGTCCAGCCTAGACAATGAGGCCTGGATGTAGTGATTGTCTGATTGATAATGATGATGATGTACACTGGCAACTGACCTTCTCTCATCATATACCGCTTTATAGTCAGATTAGAGCACCAAAAAAAAGCACATTTGTAAGACTAAGAGACAATGCACATCTGACTGTTGTGTACAATATGTAGCAGGATGCTGGAATCCTTACTGTCATTTCACTGGAGGCATAGATGTGTCCTAAAGTGGCTAAGAACATACAACACTATTCTTGACATCTTGGACCACCATAGCCTGTTCTAAAGAGCTACTGTACATGCACCATCTCAGCTGTGTTTAATTTTGTTCGAGTAATTTTTCCTTCTTAGATTTGTTCTGTTTGAGAAAGGAAATGACTACATTTCCCTTTAGGGATCTGTAGTTTTTAATGCTCCTTATTAATGTCCTCATGACCTGTGTTTGAATTCATTCCGTGAGGACAAATTTTTAGCTGGTTAAGTTTTCATTTGGTGGAAAGAAGTGTAAAAATCTTATTTTAATCAGGGAATTGTAATATACAGAGTATACTGTATACTGGAGAATAAGATGGTGGAATCATTTTGGTGTAATTTTATGACAGATTTGAAGACAAATGCCTAAATGACGTTTTGACCATTCTTCCATCTGGAATCCAAATGATCCAAATTGGAAATACAATTAAGTGGCTGTGCTGTTGTTTTAGCCCATATCAACTTGTTGAATTGGTTCTCTCATAAACCTTTACGAGAGGACATAATTCACACATCTGTGCAACATAACCGTGGCAGACAAATGTTTCATTTGTTCTGTACAAACTAATACGGTTAATGTATAGGTTTATATATGTAATATATGTTCATTAAATGTGTGGTAGTGTAATGTAAATATAATTATTATTAATTGACTTTAATATTAATGTACAAAATGTATGCTGTTTATTTCAGTATGGTAATTCTGCCTTAGCTATGCAATGTTGCTATTGAATGTTGCCTTGACAAATTTTCTTGCCTTAAAGTAAGGATGAGAAGCTGTGTTTGTGAAGTAGAGATGAAGAGATGAAGTGTGCATGTACCTGGGTGGTTAAGTCTGAGCGTGTGAGGTAGAGAATGTTTGTTATACTGGATGGATCATGTGTTTTGGCCCATTGTTAACTGTGAGACAATCGCACATGTTTAAGGTCACAGTGACAACAATATCCTGCTTTATGAGCGTTCCTCTGTTTAAAGTAAATTGCTTGATTTATCTGCAAGTGAGAAATGAAGGACATTTAATTGAAGATAATGCCATATTAAACATCAATAGGATGTTTTCAAAAAATGGAAATCACTACAGAGTATAGAAATCGTAATCATTCAGGAAATCAGGCCCTTTTATTGTGAAAAGCCATATTGAGTCCAAAACTGCTTATGAAGTAATGATATTTTCCACTGTCATCATCGGCAGACATAACATTTCTTTTAAAGCTTTATGGTGGAACCAAGTGGTTGATTTTTTGATTTTTTTTACGTTGAGCTGATTGTTACCGGTTATGTTTTGTGTGACATGAAAGTGTGACTTGAATGAGTGCTTAAAAATTGCGTTTTTTAAACCTTCATACACATCTAATCTTGAATTGGTACTGGTAGGCACCATTGCATAAAATAGGAGAAAACATTGACTCCACTTAAATGAATTACACTACACACATATTGGTTTGGCATTTTATTGTTTATTTGTGTTAAATGAGTAAGTTATTAAGCCTTGTTGATTGGTTGTGGCTGAACTGTTTTATCATAAAGGGACGATGTATGTTTCTATATGAATGGATGAATTGTTTACTCTTGGTATGTTCTCTTTCAGGGGCTTTATACAGTACTGCTGTGTATTTATGAGCTCAAGTGTTTTATTGAGAGGTGTTCCGATGTTTGCTGTTTTAGTGAATCAAAAAGGGTCAGAAAAAGTGAGGGAGATTTTATGGAAATGGATTTCAGTGTTCTTTTTTTGCCTCGAGGACTGCAACCATATGCTATTACTGTTAGCATGGCCATTGACCCTCCTCAACACCTCTTGTATAAAAGCTGCAATACAATGCATCACTGCACATTGCTTTTATGTTCATTGCCATTTAAACGTCTGTTGTGACACTTTAGGACAATGTTAAATTTCTCAAATAGGTATAAGTAAGGACAGTAGAGCTCTCTGCGGTCTTTCAAATTATATTAATGGTTGCTTTGCCTAATTCTCACTTTAGTCAAACACATACACACTACACATTCAGTAATCTTTACAGTATCTAATTATTAACTGCCATACATTTGTACAGTTAACTAATTTTGAGCTCCAGTTGTATTTATTATGTTCTGCTTTCAAAAAAAAATTACAGAAAGATGTTTCTTTTCTGTGATGACATTCATTATGTTTCTAATCGCATTTAGGCATTTTTAAAAAAAATAATTTATTGCATGGATGGGTCTGTTTTTCTTTATTCATTATTGACATCAATACTACAAGAGTGTAGATTCACATGTTTTATTTACTTGAGCGAACCCGTCTGATTTGCATTATGCAAATATGATGTTCAGATGTGATCTACAAAATGCATGTTGAATCTGTCATGCTCTGGTTTGAGTAAATGAAAAGGCTGTTGGATGATTTGAAATCTGAATGTGTATTGATTTACTTTTAATTTCTCAAATTAAGTTTGTTTGGCTGATTGTTTTTCTTTAATGGTGACAATGAAATGTAAGGTCTTGACATTGTGGAATTTGTCTGTGTTGAATAGCAATATTGCAAGACCAACATTCCACTGTTCCTTGAAAACCAATTACTGTTCATTTAATACTTATAATAAAAATGTTTTGGATGAAATGCTTTGTATTTCTTCTTTGGTAGATAAACATATGACGGGTACAATGACCTATTATAATAGTATTTTAATAATATAGCATTAATAATTGAGGGAAGATTCAAAATTCATTAGAAGAGAAATAATTACAAAAATAGGCAGCATGTAGCATCCGAAAATTTATATTCAAGATATCTTGAGAAGTAGAAAAATGCTTTTGTAAACTTGAAATTACGTGAAATGTCAAATAAGACATTAATTGACGATTTTATTACGATATAGTTATGTGAGGATACAACACTGAATAATCTATAGAAAGTTTTGCAAATTCCAATAGAATATACAGGTGCATCTCAATAAATTAGAATGTCGTGGAAAAGTTCATTTATTTCAGTAATTCAACTCAAATTGTGAAACTAGTGTATTAAATAAATTAATTGCACACAGACTGAAGTAGTTTAAGTCTTTGGTTCTTTTAATTGTGATGATTTTGGCTCACATTTAACAAAAACCCACCAATTCACTATCTCAACAAATTAGAATACTTCATAAGAATAAAAAAAAAACATTTTTAGTGAATTGTTGGCCTTCTGGAAAGTATGTTCATTTACTGTACATGTACTCAATACTTGGTAGGGGCTCCTTTTGCTTTAATTACTGCCTCAATTCGGCGTGGCATGGAGGTGATCAGTTTGTGGCACTGCTGAGGTGGTAAAACAGTCCAGTTCTTCTTCTGCGGTTCTCTCGGTTGGTTGTGCATCTTTTTCTTCCACACTTTTTCCTTCCACTCAACTTTCTGTTAACATGCTTGGATACAGCACTCTGTGAACAGCCAGCTTCTTTGGCAATGAATGTTTGTGGCTTACCCTCCTTGTGAAGGGTGTCAATGATTGTCTTCTGGACAACTGTCAGATCAGCAGTCTTCCCCATGATTGTGTAGCCTAGTGAACCAAACTGAGAGACCATTTTGAAGGCTTAGGAAACCTTTGCAGGTGTTTTGAGTTGATTAGCTGATTGGCATGTCACCATATTCTAATTTGTTGAGATAGTGAATTGGTGGGTTTTTGTTAAATGTGAGCCAAAATCATCACAATTAAAAGAACCAACGACTTAAACTACTTCAGTCTGTGTGCATTGAATTTATTTAATACATGAGTTTCACAATTTGAGTTGAATTACTGAAATAAATGAACTTTTCCACGACATTCTAATTTATTGAGATGCACCTGTAAATTAGGTAGGTTATTCTGTAATGTATGCTGACATAACTATAACCTACAATCTCTTAGTATGTTTAAATGAATACAAATTGAAAACCAATTAATATTTTACAGTAATCTTAGGGCATTCAACAGTGTGTAACATGAGACGAAAAGTCCCCTTAATGAAGGCGGAAGACGGAAGTGTGAATCATATGATGACAAACCATGAAAGGTGGGAGGGAAGGAAGAAGGCCGACTTGTACACACACACACTCACTCACTCTTCACTTCGGTAAGGAGCATTTCTCGGTTTAACTGAGGTACGGTGCCTCATTTCAACTTATCTATGGCTTTGTGCGCTGCGTGGCTGGACAGTAATACAGTCCGCTAGATTAAAGGCTTAACTGCGCTCTCATAAACCCTGATTAAGAAGGTCATGAAGCTTTAGCCGTTAGCATTCAGCTAGCACACCATCGACTATCTACATCTCCGCGAGCAGGTTCATTCATCCGCCAAAAATGGAGTGGGCAAGTCAGCTTTGTGTGAGTGAAGGTCCAGTTCGCTCTTAGGATTAGAAGAAAGACCCGTGGATAATTCTGAATGGAAAATTAGTTTAAAAATGTCGAATTCGGGGCGTAATAAATGGGTTTAGCTAGTTAGCTCTGTGGGTTTACCTAGTGAGACAGTCACCTGCTGCAGTCACCGCTGCGCCACGTAACGTTATATATCTAACCAGTTGTTGTGATGTTACGGTTGTTGGTAACGTTAATGGTTTCAGATCAAGCGCTGCATCACGTTAACAGTCGTTCAGTGGAGTCTGACAGTTGACAGTTACTTTATCTGTACTTCACTGACATTAGCTGGGACGCCGCCTCACAGCTTGACGGGAGAGATTATTCTTCTTCTTTAAAGGGAACTGTCTGAAATGGCTATAGTTTTTAATGGATAGTTAAAGAGGTGTACTTTTCCATATATTCTTGTGTATTACTTTGTTATGTGCCTGCCTGCGTTATCAACTTTGAAGTACTACGGCCTTTGGCTTTAGTTTACCACTGCTAAGCTTTGTAAGTATTTGTTACCAAAATGCTATAGTTATTGTAAAGTTTACATTTCTGTAAAACAGAATTAATGAATATGTGGTCTTCGTACAGTGTTAGAAGCTTTCAGAATATTACACACAGACTCTGTATCTATCTATCTATCTATCTAGCTGTCTAGCTAGCTCTGCCATTCAAAAGTGCATTTGATTGATAAAAATACAGTAAAAAATGTCATTTAATATGTTTTAATATTTATTCATGTGATGGCGAAGCAGAATTTTCAGCAGCCTTTACTCCATGCTTCAGTGCCATATTATCCTTTCTTCTTATTAATAATGTAAAAAATATTTGCTTAATAATGTGGTGGAAACCATGATGCATGTTTTTCCGGAGTTGTTTGGTGAATAGAACGTTCAAAATAACTATTTGTTTGAAATAAAAATCTTCTGTAGCAATAGCATATTGTAAATGCCTTTACTGTCAAATGTATATTGTTATTGATTTACTAAATTGCTAATGATTAGGGATGTAACGATTCACTCAACTCACGATTTTGATTTCACGATTCGATTCACGATTTTATTAAATTTTTTACAAAATGAGATTTAAGACAAATTATAAATTAAATATGTCCTTTTATTATTGCTTGGACAAAATGCGGCACATTTCTTTGTGAAATTGAAATATAACACTATAATAATATACTAATATAGCCCTTGCATATTATTGCTCTTTTGTTGGTTTTGATTGCTTCTGTTGTCCTCATTTGTAAGTCGCTTTGGATAAAGGTGTCTGCTAAATGACAAAATTTAAATATAATGTAAATAACTAAACTAAATAGAAATTTTAAAACAAGCCCCAAATCAAATAAACAAGTAACACAAATAAAAGAAATCTCTTCATATAAACAAACTAAGGCTTTGTCTGTGCTTTCCTTTTAAAATTAGAGGCAGCCACTGCATTTTAATCATGATCCAAACAAAGATGCTGCATACATACAACATGAGCCGTTTTTAATCTAAATTGTATGATTTCGAAATTTGAAGTAAAAACAGAATGGTTTGACTTCAGTTTTGTGAAACTATACATAAAAATATCTGCATGAAACAGCAGATGAGCTGAATGAGACGCAGATTCACTCTCTGCCAGCAGGTGGCGCTTAAAGCGTTTCTGCTGTAAACAAATGGAGCACTGCACTTATGAACTTTAATATGCATTATACAGAGGCAAGATGAATAGAAAAAATACCATCTAAACTTTTCTAAAGACAGTAAGTTCCCCTCAGACATGCATTCATATAAACTCCTACCCCTAACTGAATTGCGGTTTGTTTAGCATCTCAACCGATTTGAATCGTCACATATTTGAATAGATTTTCAACCGGCTCGCGGTTAATCGTTACATCCCTAATAATGATTATAAATTAGTTAACGTGGTGCCTTTATGATAATATAGTAATATGGTATGTTTGGTAATGAAATACCACAGCAGTCCTTGATCAATGATTTATGCATTTGGAGAGTTAGTGGACTGATAGTGTTGCCTTACTGACTTACTGTGTCAGTATTGTCATTCATTTGTCAAGGACCATTTATACAGGTGTGAACATTTACAGACAGGTGCTGTTTCATGGATGATCATAATACAGTTTGTATGGAAATGGTCAGCAGGGTTACACAAGGCATTCAAGGTGCACAGATCATAATTCTGCAGCTTCTTTATTGTAAGAATGAAAATGCCCCGTGCTGTTAGTCATTGGGGAAGAAGAAAGGCTGTAAATGCGACAGGTTTTTCCAACACTGATAATAATAAAAAATTGTTTCTTAAGCACCAAATCAGCATTTTAGAAGGATCATGTGACACTGAAGACTGGAGTAATGCCTGCTGAAAGTTCAGCTTTGCATCACAGAAATAAATTGCATGCAATTACAATAGAAAACAGTAGAATAAAAATAAAAAAAAGTTTTAAATTGTAATAATATTTCACACTATTAAATTTTTACTGTTTTTAACCAAATAAAATGGATCTTTGATAGGCATAGGAGACGTCTTTTAAAAGCATTACAAATTCTTACTGAACCCAAACTTTTGAATGGTAGTGTATATAAATAAAAAAACTTGTCATCAAGTCAGCTGAATCAAATAAAATACTGTTGTGTCCTAAGGTTTCTCTTCCTCTTAAAAGACCTTTCAGGTGATGGCGAGAGTCTAATGTTCAATAACAGGAAATGGAAAACTCTTCACAGCACATTTAGAGAGCATGAGAGGGCAGTCACTGCACATAAAGAATATAATTTGCTGACTGAAAGAGAACATCAAGCTTTAACAATGTGTTTTTGTGCAACTTTTTCCCCACTCCACAATCTGTAAGAAACATCAGGGAAGGTATCAGCAGGACAGGGACTTGACTTCCTCTTATTCCCCTGCGCTTGCACTTTTTCGGTATCCTACCTGCCTTTATTCTCTTCCACATTTTTCTTATGGGCTTAGGAATCTTCTTTCTCTTCTGCAGGAGAACCGCGGCTTGGGATCCAAGATGACAGACTCCAAATATTTCACCACTACCAAGAAAGGTCTGATGTTTTCCGTTTTGTTTTAAAGATAAGTTTTGGGATTAGTATAACATTATGTTAAAGAGATTTAGTCATTTACTGTGTCTGTTTTGGCCAGTGCAGATCATCAAGTTCACTACACCATTACACATTTAAATACTGTTAAATAAATCAACGTTTAGTGCTTCGATATTTCTGCTCTGTTTCTTTCCGCAGAACCCAGTAAACTAAAGTCTAATATTGTGTAGTCTTATTTAACTGCAGTCTAAATGAGATTTGGAGTTCTGGCTTTATTTGGATTAGGCACTTGCAGGCACATGATTGTGCCAGAACCGAGTATTTTAACTGCAAAATAGAGCTGCACACAATACTTGGTCAAAGCCAAGAAAAACATTTTACACAGAATGATGATTATTTTCTCTTTTATTACATAATGTAAACAACTCCTCTAATACTGGCTGTCTAGACTTGCACATTATTTTCGTGCTCTAGTTGTGATCTAAAATTCATAAATTCTTGTGTGTCGGGCTGTTTAGGGGAGATCTTTGAGCTGAAGGCAGAGCTCAACAGTGATAAGAAAGAGAAGAAGAAGGAGGCAGTGAAGAAGGTCATTGCGTCTATGACAGTGGGAAAAGATGTCAGGTAAGACAAGTATGCAACATTTATATGAATGTCTCACTGTTTTATATGCTACTCTGTATGTCATCCATCCCGTGTTTCCATTGGTACAGCATGAGTTTATGGAGTTCTGATCTTAATATTTTTGTTTCCAGTGCTCTGTTTCCTGATGTTGTGAACTGCATGCAGACGGATAATCTGGAGCTGAAGAAGCTGGTCTATCTGTACTTGATGAATTATGCCAAGAGCCAGCCGGACATGGCCATTATGGCAGTCAACACCTTTGTGAAGGTACAGTTCAGACGAAACAACTGATAGTATTTTTAATATTTTATCATACAATTTGCACAGGCGGTAGATACAGATTGAGATATTCATTTATTTTTCAATGCAAAACAACTGTAAAATATTCTATGGATTATAAAACACGCTCTGAAGTTTAGACAGATGAATTTCCTACTCCGGACTGTGAAGTTCTTAAAAGGCATGACATAAGCCCGGCAGCAGCAGAGAAACTCTCATCTCTATGAGTGCTAGAATAGTTATAGGATTTTATAGGATGGCACAGTCTGCATGGCAGTCACTCCATCAGCACTAATGAGTTTTTCCCACACACCTGAGAATGGAACGAGAGACACATTACTGAAGCAACTAACTAGACGAAGACTAAAGCAAGTAGGCAATAAGGCCCAAAAGTTTACAGGTCACTCAGTCTTTTTTATCGGTCTCTCAGTGTTGGACTTTAGTGGTGCTACAAACAGCAGAGCTATTAGTCCATTTACTTTTCTCAGTAGACTTTTTTTCATTGCTAGTTTTTAAATTATGCTTTTCAGTAGCAAATTTAATTTAATAGTTTTTTTTTTTCATGGTGGAGACTTTTTCCATTGACTTAAATTGCTTTTATTCTGTGCAAACGATATTTTCTATAACTTTCACAGAAACATTATATGGTATGTTTATTTAGCTGTTTCACGCAGAAACCTGGTTTATGAAAATATGTAGTAGCTTGTAGGTATTTTTGCCATGTTTGTAACTTGGCTTAGGTAATTGTTCTGTATATGACCAGTAGTTGATAGCTTAGTATATATTTATGTACACATTCATATTTAATACACACATAAATACAATAAATTATTTAAAAGTGGTAGTAAAGACATTTATAATGTTACAAAGAAGTTTATATTTAAAAAAAAATGCTGTTATTTTGAACTTTGCATTCATAGAATCCAGCAGTAAATGTGTTTATATGTGAATGTTTTACATATTAAACAGCATGTTTTCAGCATAATTTTTTTTTTGACACTGTCTGTATTTTAGGGCTAATGTGTGTTGGTGATGTGTTCTCTCCTGTAGGACTGTGAGGACCCAAACCCTCTGATTCGTGCACTGGCTGTGCGCACCATGGGCTGCATCCGAGTAGACAAGATCACCGAGTACCTGTGTGAACCTCTAAGGAAGTGTCTGAAAGATGAAGACCCTTACGTAAGGAAGACTGCTGCAGTTTGTGTCGCCAAGCTGCATGACATTAACGCCCAGCTGGTGGAAGACCAGGGCTTCCTGGACACCCTGAAAGACCTGATCTCTGACTCCAACCCCATGGTGAGGCATTATAACCCAAATAGCCAAATAAGATAAAACCAATCTAATATATATAATTGACATGTGAAAGGAACATAAAATCCAAGACCTGGTTAGATGCTGACAGTATTCCAAAAAAATAATCTCTCAACTTAGATAAATATCCCTGAGTGCATCTGTACTCGCGCTAATTCACTTGCCCACGCACTTATGTTTGTTTTAAGGGCATCTGTGGGCCTGCCAGTGCCATTTAGCTCTCTCTTAGTCTCCATGGTGTGTAATTACATGCTATTGTGCGAAACTCGAGACCCATCACACACACTACCACTGTATTGAGTTTAATGCCTCTTTTTAGGGATGCACCGATATGAAAATTTTGGCCGATACCGATAACCGATTATTCTTTATTTTTGAAAGCCGATAACCGATATGTTGGCCGATAAATCTATATCCAAATTGTTATATACTTTTTGCTCTGTCTGAGATAGCAGAGTCTCATCCTAACAGCAACCTTCTGGACCTGAACCCTCAGACAATTAATAAGCTCCTGACAGCCCTTAATGAATGCACCGAGTGGGGCCAGATCTTCATCCTCGACTGCCTGGCCAACTACACGCCCCGTGATGACCGCGAGTCACAGAGGTCAGAGGGCAATGTTATTTCATCACTCCTCTAATGAAGTCTACATAATACATAGAAGCTAGCTTCACTAATAAAGCTGATCTAGTGTGTCACCTAGTATCGGCATTGATTACCTGAATTAAATTGAATTGAATTGAATTAGATCGAAGTTGGCTTTGAATCACTGTTGATTCAGTTCCGCATTTTAAGAATCAGTATCGGATTGTTCAAATATAGATTGCAGTTTGGAAAATCAGTTTATATTTTCTACCAGCCATAATTCAGGCATTATTAAACTGCCCAGTGTGTTTTTGCTGTTAAAGATTAGTTTTTTCCTCTGCCTTTTTGAAGCATGTTTCTCTCTCTCCTCCCACAGTATCTGTGAGCGTGTAACTCCACGGCTGTCCCACGCTAACTCTGCCGTGGTTCTGTCTGCAGTGAAGGTTCTGATGAAGTTCATGGAAATGCTTCCTAAAGATCTAGACTATTACGGCACTCTTCTGAAGAAACTTGCTCCTCCTTTGGTCACGCTGCTCTCAGCTGAACCTGAACTGCAGTATGTTGCCTTGAGGAACATTAACCTCATCGTACAGAAACGGTAGGTGCAGAGCTGTGGAAAATAAAGTGAGTTTATATGAAGTGATGATTAGCTGTCGGCCGATATTTGGCATTTTTTAAAATATCGGCATCGGCCGATAAGTTTTCCTGTTTGTTCGAGGCGGACTTTTATTTTGACGGCGCTGCGAACGGCAGCGCCTGAGCTCACAGTGCTTACATTCTCCCTCTTGTTCGCTGTTGTCGTTCAGTTCTGTCTAATATGGATTATCTAATACATCTGTCTAATAATCAGGTAGAACGGTTAAACAAAGGAATTCAAATCTATACAAAAAGTATTATAAAGATTGCTTTTATATTATTAGTCATAGAAAGGCAAACATTATAATACTTTCTTGTTTGCCATCAGCATTCAGCAAATACGCATTTATATAATTTAAACAAATCTTTAAATGTCTAATAAACATCTAATTTCAAAAATCTTGCAAACTAGTCGGATCCAGTTGTGAGATCTTGTGAAGTGTGCATGTGACCTGCATGATCGCATGTTCTCTGCGTGACGGTTGATCCGTGAGAATTGAATGTGGACAGGAGGAGAGTTCAGCTTCACTGGAGACACGCGATCGACAAACTTTAAACTTGTGATTTTAAATTATGCTGCGCTTTATGCATTTGCCCACTGTCATGTTCATGTCATTTTTACTGTGTGCTGTATGTAAAATGAGTGTTACCTTGGCTTTATTTGAAAAAAATATGATTAATGCACACAGACTTCACAGAATACTGAGTGCCCTTTTGGTTATAGTGTTTACTTCCTTTTTAATTATATTTTTATTAAATATTTATTTATTTGTGAAAAATACTTTGTCATCTAAAGTATAAGTATGTTTATTTAACACATTTATTTTTTAAATCAATTTTAAAATGATTTCAAATTTCTTAAATATTAATTAAAATAAATAAATTTATATCGGCCATCGGCCACCCTGCTTTCCAAGATATCGGCATCGGCTGTCAAAAAACCAATATCGAAAGTAAGTTAATGCACAAATAATTAGTCTATATTGTAAATCAACTTTATTATATATTTCTCTTTTTTTCTTTTTCTTTTATGTTTCTACCAGCCCTGAAATTCTAAAACATGAGATGAAGGTTTTCTTTGTGAAATATAATGACCCAATCTATGTCAAGCTGGAGAAGCTGGATATCATGATCCGCCTGGCGTCTCAGGCCAACATTGCTCAGGTGAATGAAACTGCACCCACACCACCACACTTCACTAATGTGAAACATGATCTCTGCCTGATCATCTATGTTCATAAATTTTTCTGTGACTCCACCCAGAAAACAGTGGAGTCCAAAAGTCTAAGACTACTAATGAAAATACATCTGTTTTGCATTTTTGTAAAAAAAAAAATAAAAAAGAAATTGTAAATAACAAATCAACATGATTTTCACTGTCTAAGTATTTGTTTTTTCCTCTTTTGCATTAATGACAGCAGTAATGTATATTTATGGTCTGCCAAATTTTTAATGTCATGAAACAATGATTTTTGTCATGAGAAAGAGGGAATATAATTAAATGATGTCTTATATGTACTTACAAATTTGTTTAGCCTTTCTTATTTTTTCTAGCCTTTTTATCGTTATTTAATTGTTTCGTTTAATGAATTTTAAATCTGTCTATGAAGCTGAAATGGCAATAAACCTAAATATTATTACTACTACTACTTGCGTTTTATAATATCCTTCATAATTTTTATTGTTCTTGTTGTTTGTGTAGTTATTATTGTTTTTCCTTTTGCTGTGTTTTTGTTTTATTTCCACATTTAGATCTGTTTTCATTCCCATATGTTCCCATCACTCACTTTTGGACCCCACTGTTTATCACATGAACATTTGAAATGTATGCTAATGAGAGTCTGTGTTAAATTTCTGTGTGTTTGGGTGGTGTAGGTGCTGGCTGAGCTGAAGGAATATGCCACTGAAGTGGATGTGGACTTTGTGCGTAAAGCTGTACGAGCCATTGGCCGCTGTGCAATTAAAGTAGAGGTGAGCAAGCCTGACCCTGATTAGGATAGCATTATTATTAACTTAAAATTAACACTCATTAGACTGTCAGTGTTAATTAATTGTAAAGTTCACCACTCCTAATGAAAGGATTCAACCTGATGTGAAACCAAAGCCAACTGCTTCTTTGGTTAACTGATGATACCATTTATGGTTTAGCAGATTAGCTTATCTGTTTTTCTGTCCCTCCTGTCTTTGTTACAGCAATCAGCAGAGCGTTGTGTCAGCACACTGCTTGACCTCATTCAGACCAAGGTCAATTATGTGGTGCAGGAAGCCATTGTGGTCATCAAGGACATCTTCCGCAAGTACCCCAACAAGTAGGTTTTTCAATTTCCCTTGTCCCTGACTTCTTTGTCACTAAAGCTGTTTCTCTCTTTCTCTCTCTAACTGCATCCTATTTCTGTTTGGCTAAGGTTCATTATCCAGGTGTTAGAGGTTCATTGTCCTGACACAGTCTCTGTTCAGTCATGCCTTTCATAGTAAAATGTGTTGAAAAATGCAATAAAGATTCACTGAACCCAGAGACCCCCCCCCACTGTCATTTTGCTGCTTCATTGTTGCTTTTTTCTTGAATGTGTTGTCAGATATGAGAGTGTGATTGCCACTCTGTGTGAGAACCTGGACTCTCTGGATGAGCCTGAGGCACGGGCAGCCATGATCTGGATTGTGGGAGAGTACGCAGAAAGGATCGACAATGCAGATGAGCTGCTGGAGAGCTTCCTGGAAGGCTTCCATGATGAGAGCACACAGGTGAAGTGCCTTTTAAATTGCTTTATTAAATATGCTGTAATAAGTACAGCAGACTTGTGATATGCATGCAGTGTGTTACTTTGCTTCAATGTGCATGAAGAAAAACTGCAACCGTGTAATAGGATGACTTTTTGCTGTGGTATCGAAATTGGTCTCTTTCACTGGTAGTGGTAATGACTAGGGCTGTGTATCACCAGCAAAGTCACGATACGATACAGATGCCACGATACGTATCACGATACAGGACTGCACTGAATTTCACCTCAGCAGAATTTCGTAAAACAGCTGTTTATTAAACACTGCATAGTATAGTGCCATTTCTAACTATTGGCAGAGCAGGCAGTTGACCTCTGCATTATTATGAAGGACCTCCATAACTGTACCACAGTACAATGTAGGTAATGGCATATGTTTCATGTTTACACTGGGCACTCCCCACCAGTTACAATATTCTAATTGTTTGCATCTTGTTTTTAAGCCCATAAATAATAATGTACTCGTTCTAATAAATTTATATTGTAATGTACTCATTCTAATTTATTTTAAAAATCATATTTACATTGGTGGTAGGTTATCATTGCACAAATTAACACACTCTCTACGTTTAAAAAATAAAAATAAAAATTAGATGAGTTCTAAACTAACGCACTAATGTCTTCACTGTATCTAATGCACACACACACTCAGCCACTCACACAGATCATGTTGCGCACTCAGACATTCAGGAACAAACTTGATGAATTACACTTTTCTGAGAATAGAATATTGAAGTGGAGATTGCTAAACTGCAAGCTTACCGGTGTTTTCAGAAAGCAAGCGCGTTTATCCACAGCGGAGAGAGCGCGTGTGCACATGGTTGCCAGGTTGACAAAGATAAGTAACACATTTAGCAGATATTTCCATATTGCGCAAGTGTGAAGCTCTGTTTCGGGGATTATGTCTCTTTATATCTGGCAACCCGGTTGGGTTCCACTGTGGCCAGATTAAACCTTGTTGTAACCTATATATTATGCTCTATTCATTATTTTTTTAGAAACCTTGCACTTTTCTACTCAATTTTAAATGTTGTTGTTGTATTCAAATTAAGCGCGCTGCACACGTGCCACAATATCGATACAGGGACAGCTCATATCTCTCAGTCAAATCTCCGTGACAGTACGTCATCGTATCGATGTATCGAACACAGCACTAGTAATGACTACTGAAATTTTGGTATTATAACAATAATACCATACTACCCTAGTGAATACTGTAATGAGCTTGTCTCTTGGAAAATCGTGTTACAGGATTTGTCCCCGTGTTAATGTTTTTCATGCTTCTCTTTCAGGTGCTTCTAATAAATTTATATTGTAATGTACTCATTCTAATTTATTTTAAAAATCATATTTACATTGGTGGTAGGTTATCATTGCACAAATTAACACACTCTCTACGTTTAAAAAATAAAAATAAAAATTAGATGAGTTCTAAACTAACGCACTAATGTCTTCACTGTATCTAATGCACACACACACTCAGCCACTCACACAGATCATGTTGCGCACTCAGACATTCAGGAACAAACTTGATGAATTACACTTTTCTGAGAATAGAATATTGAAGTGGAGATTGCTAAACTGCAAGCTTACCGGTGTTTTCAGAAAGCAAGCGCGTTTATCCACAGCGGAGAGAGCGCGTGTGCACATGGTTGCCAGGTTGACAAAGATAAGTAACACATTTAGCAGATATTTCCATATTGCGCAAGTGTGAAGCTCTGTTTCGGGGATTATGTCTCTTTATATCTGGCAACCCGGTTGGGTTCCACTGTGGCCAGATTAAACCTTGTTGTAACCTATATATTATGCTCTATTCATTATTTTTTTAGAAACCTTGCACTTTTCTACTCAATTTTAAATGTTGTTGTTGTATTCAAATTAAGCGCGCTGCACACGTGCCACAATATCGATACAGGGACAGCTCATATCTCTCAGTCAAATCTCCGTGACAGTACGTCATCGTATCGATGTATCGAACACAGCACTAGTAATGACTACTGAAATTTTGGTATTATAACAATAATACCATACTACCCTAGTGAATACTGTAATGAGCTTGTCTCTTGGAAAATCGTGTTACAGGATTTGTCCCCGTGTTAATGTTTTTCATGCTTCTCTTTCAGGTGCAACTGCAGTTGCTGACAGCTATTGTGAAGTTGTTCCTGAAGAAACCCACTGAGACCCAGGAGCTGGTGCAACAAGTGCTCAGTCTCGCCACACAGGTGAGATATCCACATGGGTGCTTATCAAAGCACACGTTTCAGTGAGAAAATTACTCTGCACATATACTTGCTCACACCTTCAAGGACACCCTCTGTAGGTGTTGCCATTCTCAAATGGCAGATCTCTAAAGCAAGGCCGTTTGGCTTTCTGACTCACTCTGAAGAAAACAAGATATTCAAAAATATATATTTAAGATAAGATTATATAAAAGATATATTTATTCTTTTTAACAAAAGTCTGTAATTGCTTTTTGAAACTGCAGGCAGACAATAAGAGGATAAATAAACCACAAAATGGAAGACTTCTAATTTTTAAACATGTCTCAAATGAATGTCAAGTGCACAGGAAACAAAGATGATGATTATAAAAGCATCAGATGAGGGATTAGTGTCCTGCTCCTGTGCCTCTGTTAAACTACATGACCTGCTCTGCTTTAATATATTATATACATTCATATGTACATATTTGTGGCATAATGCAATGTAAATAGTAAACCACCATTTGGGTTAGATTTTGTTGGCCAGAGTTTTGAAACCCTGTACCATTTCAAAACAACAGGTTTATATTTATTAAACATGTATATATTTGTTAATGCTAGTATACTTTGCATTCTTCCTCTGTGCCAGTTAGGGATTTAATTGCTATTAACAGGTTTTTTTACATCATCAGAATATGCTTTTTAAGCCACAGTGTCGCAGAATAAGGGCACCTTATTCTTTTTTCCAGTTAAAGTAAGTGCTGCTAATCCATTAATTTCAGAGGGATGCAGCACAAACGTGCTTGCTTGACAAATGAGACATGCTTGACAATAATGATTAAATAATTTTAATCAATCTCCATTTTAATGAACATGAACATTCACCCAACATGAATATAAACCTATAAACTATTCAATAGTTATTCAAAAGACATACACAATGAGTGATTAGGACATGGTAGTCAAATGTGTGGGTTACATACATAATATGTAGTTATGCATAGAAATGATTAGTTGCTCCTAAAGTCCTTTTAGCATCATTTTGGTGCATCTACATCTGTAAAAGACAGTCTCTCTGTCGTTCTGTGAAGGTGAGGATGTGCTTTGTGAGGATCAAAAGGTCTAGAAGGAGCCTGGTCTGTCTGGGAAACCACCCAACAAAGTCTCTACTAATGATTTCCCTCATGTGATGGTTATGATGTTGTCTCTTCAATCATTAATCTTGGGTTTCTTGCCCCAAAATTGACAATCTCCTTCCTGAGTTAGGATTATCAATGTGTTCTTTTGTTTTAATGGTGCAAGCTGTTCTCTTAAAGAGTTGGTTAGGCTTGCTTCAGACTGGCTGGTGCTAGGGTATCGTGGACAGATTTATGTCGTTGTCTTGTTGTCCTGGGCCTCTTTGTGGAATTTGGCTCTTTAGGTTGTTTTAACACCAATCTAATCGAATCTTAAATTGTCTTATTCACTCTGATACCCTACAGTGTGAACAAAGCTTCACTAAATATTGTTTTGTAGTGTGATTCCATCCAATAACTGCAATAAGCATTGTGCTTTGTTTATTTTAATATGAACGTATCAGCTTTCAAATTTTCATCACAAAATCTACTGCAGAAAGATGTCAACAAACAGCTTGTAAACTATATACAATGTTACGTTGTATTTAAATCAGGAAAGCCATTCAATGTCCATAGATCAACTGTCCACTAGAAAAAAATTAGTTTTAATAAAAAAATGTAAACTTAACCTGTTAGTGATGTCTCTGATCGATTGTATGTTTGAATAAATCTGTCATGAATTTTTTTTTATGACAGCCAGTTTAAATTATTATAGAAACAATTATAGGCCCTATAATTAAAAAGTTGATGTGTAAAAACTTAATATATTTTTAAGTACTTATTATATCTAAAAATGAATAGCTATTTAATTTGGAATATGTTGTTAATTTTAATCTTTGTTATAGTAATGATTCCTTATATAGTTTACAGCATTAGAGATTTTCCTTTAGAAAAACTGACATGCATACTTCATATATATCCCAATATAAACCAAATCGAATCAAGATTTTGTGAATCAGATTTGAATCGATTTGTGAAATCTGTCAATACTTAGCCTTAATGTTAAACTTTTTTGGATTAAAGCACTTAATTCATATGGTTTACTTTGTCTTTACGTACCTTTTGGAACTTGAAAATGTTGATTTATAAAGACTAGTTTAATGTTTGTGTGTGTATCAGCCAGAGAGCAAGTATGTGTGTGAGATCTCATTAATATTCAGAGAAGCTGTGAGCTTGTGCTGTCAGACTGGGATCTGAGATTGAATCTTGTCATTATTAACTTTGAGGTTCAGTGCCACAGGCTGTACTCGCCGCCAGGGTTCTCTCAGAATACCAAATGTCCTCCTTTATCCCATGTGCCATTTTATGGCCTCAAGATCTAATTCTCTCACCGCTGTTTTGCTCTGGGTGTTGTTGGCGTACCACTTGATCTCATCACACAGATGAATCGGTGCTCAAAAGTTTTGCATTATTTACACAAGACTCTGTCCTTCAGATGAGGTTTTGTGGAAAGAACCAGTCACCTCATTTTCTCTTCCTTCCTCTCACGTCATAAACAGTGTATGATTCCCTTAGGTTCGCTATTGGTCAATTTCATTTTCCCTGTATTTTGCTCTCTTTAACTCTGCAGGATTCTGATAATCCTGACCTGCGTGACCGTGGCTACATCTACTGGCGTCTACTCTCCACTGACCCTGTGGCGGCAAAAGAGGTGGTGCTGGCCGAGAAGCCTTTGATATCAGAGGAGACGGACCTGATTGAGCCCACCCTGCTGGAGGAGCTTATCTGCCACATTGGTACTCTGGCCTCAGTCTACCACAAACCTCCCAGTGCTTTTGTGGAGGGCAGCCGTGGCGTTCAGCACAAGAGAATTCCTGCTCGCGCTGGCTCGTGAGTCTCTGTATATATTCTTTTCTTATATTACTTTATAGATAGAATAGCAAAAATAAATATATATATTCATATTTATAATAATTATTATTTAGTTCATATTTAATAATATATTTATAATGAAATTATTTTACATTTACCTTACATAATCTTTTTTCAAATGTATCTTGTTTAAAAATGTGTTAGTGTTTAAATGTGTTTTTTTAACACATTTAACACAACAACAAAAAATGTATTATAACAATTTGATCATTTCTCTCTCTCAGTGGGGAAAATGCCGAGAGCCCTGATGTTGGCCAGTCTGGACCTTCTGAAGCTCCACCTGCTGTCATTCCATCACAAGGTGATCTCCTAGGTGACCTGCTGAACCTGGATCTGGCCCCACCCACTGCCGCTGTCCCTTCAGTGCAGCCCTCAATGCAGATGGGAGCCATGGACCTACTGGGAGGAGGTCTGGATAGTCTGGTATGTTCATCTCCTGCCGCCTCTCGCTCTGCTACAAACATAATCACCCCTTTGTGGTGAAATTAGATTCATTTAAAGGGTAAAACAGTGTAATTACTGGAATGAATATACCCATCTGTTCCTTTAACAATCTGTGTGTGCATATACAGATATGCAAGGCTTTTGGTAATGTCTTTGTCAGTTGTTCAGCTCACACATGTTGTAGGACATGTATTTTGAGGTAGCTTTGGCCTGAACAGCAGGATCCAGACCTACTTTACTAAATCGAGATCATCTAATCCCAGATCAGCCCCCTCCTCCTTAAACACACATCCAAACTCTCTTAACCAGTGTAATTGTGTCTGTTGAGAAATCACAGATGGTCTTGCATAATTAGTTAACTTTCCTTGCCTGCATTTCCCCTCCGGTCTTCTTTCTCTTTTTTGACTCTTGTTTTTTTTCCCTCTCTCTTTTATCCTTACGCTACACTTGCAGATGGGCGATGAATCAGATACGGTAATTAAACTAAGTGAAAGAGGAAGCAGACACTTTCATATCATGCCATTTCATTAGTCTAAATTACGGATCTGTTAGTAGGAGTATCAGATGTACTCATCACACCAGCAGAAGGCCATGTATATTTACAGCCCCAACTTTTTTATTTACAACCACTTGTAACTGGTGTCGACATAAGTAAAATATCTACAAAATATTTGTTTGTCATAACACACCTTGTATGAACAGTCCTGTGCTTGATGCAACCACATGTTATTTTTCCGGAAGTTATGTCAGTATTTTTAGTCACTGTAAAGTTCATGAATGTTTGTAGAGTTTTAGAAATCCCCAGCCTCATTCCCCTCATTTGTTCTGCTTTCATCCATTGGAAATATTTCATCCATTTCTCATTCCTCTATCAGCCGGGAGTTTCCCACAGGACAGAGGTGCAGTCTCCCCAGCCATCTTCTGATTATAGTGAGAGAGAGGTCTGTGTGGGTGTTCTCACCTTTTGAGTTCATCCTTAAAATGTTCCTCTGTACTGATCTTAGACTAGTCCGTGTTGCCCAACATAAACTGCTCTCAGATCAGTATGAAGGAATCATAAGAGCACATTTCCTCCTTTTTGTTTCGGTATTTGAGTTTGTAGCGGTAGTTGTAGTTGTAGTCACGCACAAGTAGTCACATCTAGGGGTGGGCGATATGACTAAATTAGTTTTCATGATAGGAGTCATTTATTGTCCCAATAATTATATGTATATGTTATTTTAGCTTTGTTATTAAAAATAAGAACAAGTATGCAAATATAAACAACAAGACAAATGCAAATTTTTTTTTCAGGTGCATTTAGCATTTAAGTAAGAAATATTAAAAAAGAGCAATCAATGTAAAATAAAACACTGCATAGTCTTCGCTGTATGAATTAAATATACACTGATTTTTATTAAAGCTACAAAAGTTGTTCAATCAAGAGCAGCGAGTGATTCTCTCTTTTGTCTTTGCTATTTAAGGGCATAGACAGCAGCAGGTATGTTAGACTGCTGTCACTATAAAACTTCATTATAAAGATTCAGTATCTTGACACACATCTGATTTCTTTCCCAATGGTTTACAATCATTTAAGACATAACTGGCTGTGTTTTTGTGGATAATCACCAAGACAGACATTTTATGGCCTTTTTTGGCTTTATTAGATAGAGACAGTAGGGATGAGACGGGAAATGATGGAGGAGAAGTGTTGGGGATGGGACTGGGAAAGCACCTCGTGACCCTGGATGCAAACTTGGGTCACATATGTACATCTTTCTGTATCACTTTAACATCTTAATAACTTTAAGCAGTCCTGTGCTGTGCAGATATGTTTACATGCTGCGATAACAAACAAAACCTTTATTGACTGACATTTCATATTGCCCATCCCTAGTTGAGAGTAAAAAGATTAAAGAAACTGTCCATAGAATGTCTCACAACTTCCTTAGCAGCTCATTAACTTGTTTCCACCCACTGAGCTAGTTCCCCCTTCATCAACCTCTTCATAATTATCCGCTTCTTTCCTGCCTACTGATCCTTACACTCATTTTTTGTCCTTTCTGTTCCCAGCTGGGAGGAGACATCGGCGGAAGCCCTTCGGTAAGATTTTTAGCAAAGTTCATCCAGACTTTGATGAATGTGCTTCGTTGGAGGAGTATTAGCATTTTGGGTTTCCCTTCATTAATCAAAGAGCTGTTAAATTCCTCCTCCACGTCTTTTATCTTAGTTAATTTGTCTTTTTCCTGACAGTCTTGTTGCAGTCTAGAAAAGTTGTAATGGGTTGTAATTAGGGATGCACCGATATGAAAATTTTGGCCGATACCGATAACCGATTATTCTTTATTTTTGAAAGCCGATAACCGATATGTTGGCCGATAAATCTATATCCAAATTGTTATATACTTTTTGAGAGCCTGATTACAAAAAAGGTCTCATCATTAAAAGCCACATCCCAAACACTTCAACATAAGCAGCCTAGTTTGAACGGTGTACGTTTTAAAAATATTTTTACTCTCCCATTACCAAATTTAGTCATAAAGTCTTACAAATAAATAAAATTATGCATAAATAATGCAAACAAGTCACTGGACATCATTACACGTGTAAAGAATCAAAATGAATGTGCCATAGATCAATAAAACGGAACAACAATTCAATCTGCACGGACAATAATTAAATGATTTTAATTACTAAACCATATTTGATGAAAATAATAAGAGAAAAATACAAGTAGTTGTTGTTATTAATAATATATCAATGATTTTGAAAAAGTAACAAATTAATACCACTGTTTTAAATAGCAGCCATTGAGCTGCACGTGCTGAAGCTGAAGAGCTGAATGAACACGGTAAACTGAAGCGTTTTGCTGGCAGCTTATTTAACTCAAGGAAATGCATCCTGAGATGAATATTAATACAACATAAACATAATAATACAACTTATATATGTACAAAATGACGCAGTTATTGCATGCTATAGTCAGAATGTGTGATCCTGTTGTGGATGCGCTCTTCCCATAACAACGCGCTGAAACACGGCAACTAAACCCAAAGAATTCACAACGTTTTATTATAATAATGTTCTCATTAGAATGTTATATACACGACATTCCCAATCATAGTTATTAATGTTGTGCACTGCTGTTTGGGCTGCGTGTGCTGAGCTAAAGATGATCACCGGTAAACTGAAGCGCTCTTTTTAACTTAACCAAACGCATTCTATATGAGATAAATCAGATATACATCAAATAAACACAATATTACAATGTACAATTGCACAAAAGGCTGCAAACGAACAGCGCGCATCTGAAGTGTCTCTGAAGGAAATAATGCATTATTTATCGGCTTTAAGATATCGGCCAAATTTTCTTATCAGGCCGATACCGATAACAGAAAAAATGAGCCGATATGGGCCGATACCGATATGGTGGCCGATATATCGTGCATCCCTAGTTGTAATACTTGTCTCCCTCTGCTCAGATGGGTGCCGGTTTGGGGGCGGCCCCAGCAGCCATGCCTGCTGCTCTTGGCGGTGCTCCTGCTGTTGGAGGTGGATTGGGAGACCTTTTTGACCTCGGTGGAGGTGTTGGCATGCCAACAGGATCCTACATTGCTCCTAAAACTGTAAGTATAGAATCAATCAATACTCTGAATCAATAACTTTGGTTATGAATTCAGAAGACTTTTATAAGCAGTTTCCCCGCTTTAAGTCAATTTGTAATGTGGCAGCGTTTCCTGGACTCTTAGTGGCTGTGCACATGAAATGTGCTGTGGTGTTCAATAACAGCTCAACAGAGTCCAACAGAATGCAGAGCACATTTTTAATCTTAAAAAAGGTTTTAAAATGCAACTCTCATAGAATGATATGCTTAAAAACAGCAAGGTGCAATGCAGGGGCCAAAAACATCTATCTGATGCATTTGTACAGAAACATTGAGACGTCCTGTGTGTGTCCGCTTAACTCTCTTTCTTTCCCCCACACTCTCAACCTGTTTATCTGTGGGTTCAGGTGTGGTTAGCGGCAATGAAAGCTAAAGGGCTGGAGATTTCTGGGACATTTGCCCGACGCGGTGGGATCATTCAGATGGACCTGTCTCTTACCAACAAAGCCATGAGCGTTATGACTGACTTCGCCATTCAGTTCAACAGGAACAGGTGAGTCCAGTGGTAGAACGGGAGATGGTTTTGGAGCTCTCTTCAAGGTTTTGCTCTTCTCTCTGTGGTATCTTCTCTGATTGTTAATCAGTTTGGAGGCCTGCCTGGAAGGCGTTCCATTCATTTATAGCATTTTGTCAGTGGGATCATTCAAGGACATGCTGATATTCTAAAGAGACTTAAATGTGTTCATGTCAATTGAGGACTTCTCTCTAGAAAATTACTGCTTGTATAGTAAAGCAGGTTGTTGTAATATATTCTACTTAGATCTTTGACTAATACAAGGGCAACAAAAGGTCATATTCTTATGTATGTATAGATTTATAGAATGATGCTTTCTCACACAAATCTCAAGCCACAATGCTTGGCTGTTGTGAGTGGTTGACAGAGTGTTGCTATGGATTTGTAAAGGTGACCGGGTGGTTGGTTACTTACCCTGTCAAAAGTGCACAAGTCTTTGTGATGTTCTTGTTTCTAGAAGGTCCCTCTACCTGTAAATGTGCAACAAATTTACAGATTGCAGACAATAAAACAAAATGTCAAATCCTGAGCCAAATATTGATCGGGTCTTAACTGGTGATGCAAACAAAATAATTTGGCCGAAATAGTTTTGGAGGGCAAAATCATTGGCTCAAATGGCACATTTTGACTGTGTCGGTGAATGTTTCGTGCGCACAGCATATATTAGCTACAGTAAGTAAACATATCATCAGTCACATATTACCATGACCAAAAAGGTTGCTAGAGTATGTAAAATGTGTTTGGCTGAAATATTGAGATGTGGCTCATTGCAGCAGAACTGTGAATATGACATACGAATAAGTATGCAAATTAAATTACCCACATTTAACTGCAGTAGCATTAGTTTTAGCTAAACGAAACTTTAATTTCAGTTTCTGTAAAAAAAAAAAAAAGTCAGTTTTTGTTGCATCACTAGTCTAAAACTGTGTTTCTCTGTTTTTCTGTAGTTTCGGTCTCTCCCCTGCTGGCCCTCTGCAGGTTCTGACTCCTCTGAGCCCCAATCAGACCATTGACGTTAGTCTCCCTCTCAGCATGAGCGGCCCTATCATGAAGATGGAACCTCTCAACAATCTGCAGGTAATGTATCCATCGCATATCTGCAGCATCATAATTCATGTGCAGTATGAAATGAGTGTTGTGCTGTTAAGCAATAAAGCAAGCCCCCGTTGAGCATTTATTAGCAAGGCTGCAGCCCAAAAAAGCCACTCCAGAGACAGTACTATAGACATTAAGTGTGGGTGGTTCCCAAGGGATGCAACTTCTCAGAAGAGATTCAGTAAAAAAAAAAAAAATCATCATTAGTGGTTCTCCCTTGACTGTTTGCTCTCTCTTTTCTGTCTTTCTCCTCCTCTCACTGCATGTCCATTTCTATCATCTTTTGATCAGTGTTGTAGGTCTGCAGTAGTACAGCAATAGGTCTGAATTATATGTGCCTGATTATCTCTCTCAGTGGAATCCTTCACTGTGCTCTCCAATGACTGCACTGGGAAATAAACCACAAATCCCACAGACTACAATAGGAAGGCATAGGCATTATGGAACAGTGCAATCACTAATTGGTAGTAATTAAACCAGGAAAGGATTGTGTTGAGCTTCAGGGACTGTTTTGGTTGGGTGAAGCAAATGCAAAAATATAGGATCTCTCTTCTCTCTCAGAGCTCTAAATGAGATTAAAAGAAGATAGTGTTTTAATCTGAAGATTTTATAGAGCCCTTCAGGCTTTATCTAATGCCATTTTCAAATTAAATGCGTGTGTTGAGCTTTCCTGGAGAGAGATTAGTGAGCGTCGTGTTCAGGATGCACATGTTAGACTGGCATTAAATGGTTAATCATAAATGTGTCTCTTTCACTTTCTGCTCTGTGCTTATCGTTGAAGTCATCAGCAGTGGTTTAAGAGAGCTGTATGATAATAATTATGGGATTTGTCGCTGTGAATCATAGGAGGCAACATGAATTTTTATCTCCATTTTTCTAGGACTGATGTAACAACAATATGTCTGGATATCAGGTAGCTCACAGCTTTAGCACGTGTATTTGATCTGGACGTGCTTTGGCTTACCATGAGTTTCCAGTCTTTGCAGGCATGGATTACAACAGCTGATACTACTTCCATTCCCAGAGAGGCTTGTGGCATTATTAATTTCACACGTGGCTGCCGATAATAGATCAGTTATTAATTGCAGTGGCATCACAGGAAGTGAATGTTACTCATAGACTGAATGAATGGCATTATTTATTTATTTTTCTGTAGCTTGACTCATTGTCATTATTTGCAAGGCTAATAATATTGTAGATCAATCTGAACAGAAGATAAACCAATTCTAATACGTCATGTTTGGTTCAATTCCTGACAATTCCACAAAATGAAAAGTTTGATTTCTGATTTCACATTAATTAGTACATTGGTTTTTCTTCATATTATTTTGCCTGATGGTTCTATAGTATTTCTAACAACAATTAGACAAGTGAGGGAGGGATGAAGCTGGTTTGTACAGCTCAGAGCGGTTTTGCCTAATGAATTATTCAGAAGTGGAGTGTAGCAGGTCTGGATGTCTATGTGGGACTGCCTGTCCCTCTCTGAGGCTGTGCAGTCTCTATTCTGATGGATGCTGTCAGCTTTTATAAAAGCTCCCCTGGGTGCCTTTCAATCCCTCATGCTCTCAGAAGATTTACAGCCATAATCAATTGAAAGTTTGGTGTGTTTTTTTTCAGCTGCAAACTTACTAATGCACAAAATGGAAAAACAAAGAGATGATTGGTTGTATTTAATCTGAGTTGTTAAGCACTTTTTTGACTGACTTTTTGTATTTCTTTAAAATGAATTCAATTAGGGCAAGAAACCTCAACTTGTAACAATAATATAGACAATCACTCACGTAGAATATATTTATATCTGATTCTTTAGGACAGGTGTTTTTGAGTATGATTGTCCTGGACAGATACACTCGCTCTGTTTTCTCGAACTGTCAGTGGGCATCTTCTGTCCTCTTAGTGAGTTTGCCTTTGAGGCATTCATGCATGTTTGAAGTTCACATACTGGCGTGCAAACATGAACTTCGCGCGCAGGAGCTGAACCCAACCTTTGCAAAGCCACAGAGGGTCTTAAACAAAAGAATGAAGAGAGAGAGAGGCAAAATGTCAAAGAAAGAGATGATCAAAGGACCATATTTCCCTACTATTCTATTGTGTGTGTGTGTGTGTGTGTGCCATTCTTTGGTCAAGTACTGGAGAAAGAGGCCCATTTATTTTGGCTGAATTTATGAACTGAATTCTGTCTGCTCTTAACAGGGTTTGAGAGCCTTGTCCACAGCCACAATGTCTTAAGTCACAGTCGTAATGTGTTTCTCTCTCTCTCTTTGTCGATGCTGCAGGTAGCTGTGAAGAATAACATTGACGTGTTCTACTTCAGCTCACAATATCCCCTCAGCCTGCTCTTTGTAGAGGACGGAAAGATGGGTGAGTGTGTTTGTGTGCACCCTTAATCACTGCCTGCGTCCTCAGACTTAAGCAGAAGCGCTTCAGGTGATTGTGACGTCAATCCATTAATTTGTGTGTGTGTGTTCTTAGGTTTTGTTTGGGTATTGTTTTTAAGTTTTGACTCATGATTGTGCATGACAGTGTGAGCACATGTGCCCGATCTGTGTCCAAATGAGTGTGTAAGAAAAGATGCTGGTGTTTATGTGGAGACGTGTGTGAGTGTGAGAGACTGCTTGTGCATAAATGGCTTCCCCCAGGAGTCTCTTAAATGGAGTTCAGTCTCTGCAGGATATCACACAAATGCACAGTAGCTGTGTCCAGAAAAAAAATACTCCCTTTTCCTTATCCTTTTGTCCCTCTGCTTCTCAGAACGTCAGGTGTTCCTGGCCACCTGGAAGGACATTCCAAATGACAACGAGGCACAGTTCCAAATCAAAGACATCCACCTCAACTCAGGTAACAGGAATAAATGTGCGCTGTGCATAAGTGAATTGGGTAACGTGTGTGGAGGAAGATGAGAATGGAGGAAATGAAACAAATAAGCAAAGATGGGATGGAGGGAAGTGCTGTGCTTTGTATCATATTGACTGTCACACGTTCTGTCTTTTAAAAGAACACACTGTCCTGTTGAGGTCTGTCTCTGAAGAGTGCTGATCGGGTGGCATGTCTGGTAGGGTTGTGACGGTGAGGAAATTTTTCCCACTGGTTAATCGACGTGTGACAAGACCGGTAATACCGTTATCACCGCGGGGGTGGGGGCGTTCCCTTTTTTCCTCGCTTTCCTTCGCTTTTACATAGCTTTGTAAAAGCGGTGTGCGCATTTTACTTTCACTTTCAAATAGCGGCAATTCTGAGTAAAGCAATTTTTCATTTGAATTTTCCCTCTTTCCCTCGCTTTCCTTCACTTTTGAATAGCTTAAAAGGGCCGTGTGCATTTTACTTTCACTTTTGAATTAGCTGATTTTGAACAACATAATACAACGTTAAACTCATTTTAGCCTATATATAAAACACAGAACTTTTATTAACAAAACAAATAAAAATACACCATGCTATAGGGCAGGCTATGCCTAATATAAAATAACAAATAACTTACATAAAGTTTAATAGGTAGGCCTATACAAAACTGGAAATAAGGAAACATGTATAATATCTAAACAAATAAATAAGAAACGTAGAACGTTTATTAGCAAAAACGAATGTCAAATAAAATAAATAAATGACACAAAGTTTAAATAAAGTAAAAATCAGCAAACAATGTGGAACCAATTAAATAAGAAACGAATGTTTAAAAAAACTTCCAAAATCAGATAAACGGCAAAAGTCAACAGGCTTTTCAAAATCCAAAATACTGCCAAACAGGCGCTTTTGCATTTCGTTTCGAAACTAAATGATCCGCGATCGTCTTGTCTGTCTCACCCCACTCTTCTTGTCAGTCACCTCGACTCGCTCTCCTCACTGGATAAATTAAATTTGATCTGTGTGTCGTTCGGCATGTTGCATTGAGCAGCCGCGTTCAGTTTTTAATTGTAGTGTCTGTTCTTTTACTGAACTAAATTATTTTTATTACTATAAAAAATCTAAACGAAGGTGGGGGTCGGTGACGCGGTGGCCAAGTGACGTAACCGGTGTTGCAGCTTAACACCGTCTATCACGGCAAGCCTAATGTCTGGGTGTAATTAACTCGAGGCAGGTTTTTGGGGAATAATCCTCTTCCGCATGACTGTTTGCATAAAATAGTTGTGAATCACACTGGCATGTACATGCACACACACTCTCCGTGATATTGCTAATGAATGCACTGTGGGTGTCTTCAGTGCTCTTTTTTTGACTCTTTCTCTCTCTCCTCTTCATTTGGCTTGGCATTTAATATAGGTGTTGCTGCATTGTTAAATATAAATCTCCTGTCTCAAAGCAAAATAGTTTAATGTTAGCAAAGATTTGAGCTTGCAATTAAATGAATATGATGAGATGCAGATCCGTGCTTTTGTTCTATGAAAAAAATAGGCAACTTAGACACTTAAGATCTTCCACTTAAAGGCATAGTTCACCCAAAAATGAAAATTTAATGTTTATCTGCTTACCCCCAGGGCATCCAAGATGTAGGTGACTTTGTTTCTTCAGTAGAACACAAACAAAGATTTTTAACTTAAACCGTTGCAGTCTGTCATTCTTATAATGGAAGTGAATGGGAATCACAGTTTTGAGTCAAAAAAAGACATACACAAACAAAACCAAATTAAACCATGCGGCTCGTGATGATACATTGATGTGTAAAGACACGAAACGATCAGTCTGTGCAAGAAACTGAACCGTATTTATATCGCTTTTTACCTCTGATGCACTGCAATGTATGAACTGTCTGAACTGTCCTGAGCGCGTCCTCGACAGCCGGCGTGTGACGAGTCTTCTTCTTGCTTTACAGCGGATTGCAGACTTAAGTGCATTACCACTACCTATCTCTCAAATGGACCATTGACACTCTATCTACAATCTCAATTAGGAGTGTCAATGGTCCATTTGAGAGATAGGTAGCGGTAATGCACTTATAAGTCTGCCGTAAAGCAAAAAGAAGAAGACTCATCTCGAGCTGCTGTCGAGGACACGCTCAGGACAGTTCAGACATTGCAGTGCATCAGAGGTAAAAAAACAATAGAAATACTGTTCAGTTTCTTGCACAGACTGATAGTTTCGTGTCTTTACACATCAATGTGTCGTCATGAGCTGCAGGGTTTAATTTGGTTTTGTTTGTGTATGTTTTTTTGACTCTCAAAGCCCTGATTCCCATTCACTTCCATTATAAGACCGACAGACTGCAACGGTTTGAGTTAAAAATCTTTGTTTGTGTTCTACTGAAGAAACAAAGTCACCTACATCTTGGATGCCCTGGGGTAAGCAGATAAACATCGAATTTTCATTTTTGGGTGAACTATCCCTTTAAGAGTTTAGTTTCATGGAAGAATAAAAATAGAAGAATTTGAAGTTGAAAATTGGTTAATTTTTAGCTAAATTTTCGTTTAAATCTGACTAATTACTGAATGGTTCATATGTCAGCGTGTAAGTAAAAATACACATTTACCACAGAGTTGCCATAGAGACTCACTCAGGTTAAATTTGTCTTCAGAAAACCTGCTATGTATGTCTGTTTTGTGTTAATGAGTAACTTCTCTCTCACAGACACGGCCAGCAACAAGCTGCAAGGCAGTAATATCTTCACCATAGCCAAGAGAACAGTGGAGGGGCAGGACATGCTGTACCAGTCTGTCAAACTCACCAACGGCATTTGGGTGCTGGCAGAAATGCGCATACAGACCGGCAACCCCAACCACACGGTAAATGGGAACAAAGAGACATGGAGGATGTTGTAGTGGATGTGAAGAGACTAGCAAAGTATCACTCGAACACGCATAGATCAATAAAGACAAGAGGATGTGCTGGAGGAGACGGTAGCGGCCGCATGTGAGAGAGTGTGTTTCGCAGAACGGCTCTCCTGTTATTTCCTAATGAGTCATGCTGGAGCAAGATCTGTGTGTTTGTGTGCACGCATGAGAGAAGCGGGTAAAAGGGGAAAGGACTGCTGGGTAGATCAATCACCTCCTTAAAGCCTACTGAGCTGCATGCCTAGATAGCATTTTACTGGCATCATAGTTGCCTCAAAGTCCAAAAATGCTGTCTAGTCAGGCTGCATGCTAGGTTGGAGACCCAGTCATTGTGTTCAGAGAAAAAGGGTATTTGGCAAATCCTGGGTGGGTGAAGATAAGGAAAGAAGATTGTTAAGAAAAGATGTCAGTCCTTTCTCCCTTTGGTTTTGTGGGATTTGCCATTATCACTCAGCTCAATGCGGAGTGTTTGTTTCTTCTCCCTCGTGTTTCCTTTCACATTTCCCACATGAATCATGCTTTACAATTGTATGGCACCATTTATTCTCTCAGATCTCAAGTGTACCTAGAATTGTGTACACCGGCATGCTTCATTCCCTGTAGCAGAATATGCATCCAAGAGATAATTGAATTATTAATATATTATACAATTATAATTATTTTTCATCAGTTAATCAGCATATTCAGCTATTTTCATTATTCATTATTTTTCATTATTCTGTATTCTTTAAAGCAATTCGTGCACAAATCCCATCTTCTTTACAGAAGACACTAGATATGTTACATAATGAATCACATCAAATGGATCTAGCCCCTACTGAGTGCTAAATTTAGGCTAAATATGCACATGCACCCACGTATCCTCGATCACATCTTATTGTCTAAGTGACAAATGTTATTATTTATGATGTTTGATTTTGTTTTGTTTTTTTCCTGTGCATTTGCTCATATCTGCACTTACCTTTGATGATGACATCACAATGCAGGAAATGGAGGTTGGGTGTTTTTTCCCCCCGAAATAATCTTAACTTAAACTAAACGTCTTCTCTTTTACATCTTGCTGCCTTTAAATGAGCATGGTTTTTTCTTTGACTTCCTACTATCAACAGTAAACAGTCCACTGAAACAAAGCATGTCTGTAATAGCAGTGAATATCACAACTATGTGACTTCATATAAGAGCAACTGTTTTGAATGATCAAGCAAACCACGAGGAAATGTGTAGAAAACTATATTTTCTAGTCCTTTGCCATGATAGAAAAGCATGATATTATAGGAAGATACAGAAGTTGTGTGCACAGAATTATTTTCCAGATTTCATTCCAGGAATAATCAAATTGATTAGCCTTCATCAAAAGAGTTGCTCTTCAGCAGGAACCCGTCGATTCACGGCATGTGCTTTTAATGTGCATAAGACTCGCTCTCCTATATACACACCAGTGTTTCCTGCAGCGCTTTCAAGCTGAATCTAAAAATCTGCTGTTAAATCTACACCGCCACCACAAAATTATATTTTATCTGAGATATGAGCTGGCAGTCTGAATGAAATGTGATGGAATATGATGGATTGCTGCAAAATTATAGCAAGAAAACAAGTTGTTCTCCTGACTGCACGCAAAAACAAACTCGACCAGTGTTGTCCGAATCACTAATACGTGACTCGCTTCTTTTCAAGAATCAAACAATTTTTACAAACATTCTGACAAATCTTTAATTGAATAAACTAAATTTGTCGAAAAATTTACTTCAAGTTATTGGCTGTACGGGGCACACATTTCTGAAGGAAATTCTGAGGCACAACACATCAGTATGGGTCTGCTAATCTTCCATCTCTCTCCTCACATCCTAACAGCCACTTTAAGAGGCAGAATTGTTATTCACAGCTCAGACACGTGCTCCATGAATCATGGTTGTTTTGTTCCTGGCTGTTGTTGTAGCATATAAACAATATTTGTTTGAAAGGACAGAAAAATTGAACTGTTGTGATATGTTGTTTTCTCTAAATATCTAGCAATGTTTCCATTAGCTACAAAGCTCTACAATTTGTCACTGTTCGTCGTCCCTATGGCAACCAGGCATCCAATGGCATGGCCCGATTCCCCTTTAAACACTGCTAGCGTCTGATGGCAGGGATCTGTTAAAGCATTCCTCCGCAAACCTTCGTGCAGCACCCTGCTGCTTCCACTCTTCCTGTCATCCCACCATCTCGTCTGTTTTCATTTGCGCTTTGATTACGTTCTTCCCTATTGTCGCAACCCGCTGCTATATCTCTTAAGTCTTAGAGCCACACCATCCACTCTTCCTTCGTTCTCTGGTTCTTGCCCACCACCCAGCTGTGCAGTATCTCCAGTCAAATTATAGAACTATGTAACTGTTAATAAAACGCCTCTGCGTACAGGAAACTGATGCCACAAAGCAAGTCGGCACCAGTGGCATTGCGTCTATGTGCATTTGTGCACCCACTACGTTCTGCGTGAAGCTAAGACAAAATCCTCCAAATCTTGAAGGGGAGCAGGCTGGGGTTTGATTAAGGACATGCCACCTCATTCTTAGATGTTCTCAGCAAATTCATTCAACTAATTTACCTGTCTAAATTTATACTGGTGAGGAGTTGAATGATCTTTACACTGTTCCCCAAGCTTTATATTGATCTTTATTTTATATACATCTCTGTACAGTATATAGCATGTTCATTTTGTTAGAATTTTTGTATATAATTTTAATATATACTACCATTAAAGGTGACATATCATGAAAATCTAACTTTTCCAGGTTTTAAGTGCTATAATCGGGTCCCCGGTGCATCTACCAACCAAGGAAACGTGAAAAAGATTAACCCAGTAACTTTGTTTTGGTAAACCTTTTTCTGCAAGTGTGAGAAAATGAGAGCGTCTGATTTCGCTCCCTTGGTGACATTGCAAAGGGATCTCATTATAATATTACCGCCCCTTAATCTGCAATGCCGAGTTCACACTGCACGATTTTCAAAGACGTTGCATCACTGTTGGTTTCACACTGAACGACTATCTGGGGTAGCATTCAGTTGTTGCCGTGTTCACACTGCACGATGGAACGACGACAGGAGGTTACACACTGTATGACTTTACAATTGGAAGAATCGCCGACAGCTCTGTCTGGTGCAGGGTTGCCAGGTTTTCGCTACAAAACCCGCCCAATTACTACACAAAACTAACCTGAAAATAGCCCAATTGCTTTCGAGGGGGTCCCCCAGTAAAAATCGCGTTCCAGGGTAAAATACAAATTTTTTTTGGCGGGGTTCTCCTAGTAGGCTACAATTCACATTCCAGGGCCTAAATATCACGTTATTGGGGTCACGTCAACCTGCTGACATAAAAAACAACCGGCGGCAATCGCGGATTTGGCAACACTGGTCCACAAACTACAACTCCTCCCTGAACTTCCCTCTGTATCTTGGTCTCTCATTGGCTGTAGGTCATCGCTGATGTGTTTTTCAGTCAGAACTCATTTCACACAGCGTGATTGTGAATCGCCGA